TCCAGCAGGCGCGGAGCGAGCGGCCGTGGGTTTGTTCCCCATTTCTCCTCGCAGGGTTCTGAAGGCCGCGACCAGCAGAAAAATCGTGTCTGCTCTGACGATCTGCTAAAACGTTTGTCTTTTGCAGATGAGAATTCGGAACTTCCTGGACAGGGATTCAGCAACTCTGTTTCTTAGGGAATAATTCCTGGTTAGCAACGTAGCAGGTTAGGCTGCTGTTGGAAATTAGCAAATAAAATACTCCTAACGAGTGAGCTTTCCATGTGTGTTTGTTCTAAACGGATTAAGTGCATCTCTCTAGAAGTCTTGGGGGGGGCTGCAAGGTAAGTAGTTGTCAAGAAACTATGATGTAAGAAGCCTGGCCCGGCTCAGTGAGTTTGCTTTCCATGTTTAATAAACGTAGGAAACTCCTCTCCAGTATCTGAGCGCACTTTGTTGCAGTAATTACTGCTTCTGATGTCTGAATACAGGTAAGATCATCCAGCTTCTCTTTTTCTTTTACAGACATGATGTCTTCTGGAAGCAACTGCCAACCCCAGACACTCACCAAACCAGCACTTGGCGAAAAAGAAGCGATGGAATTGGTTGAGAGGGTATTTGGATTAGAGGTGTCCTGGATCGGGCCGCTCCCCAGCTATGACGATCAGAATTTCCACGTGCGTGTCTCAAGAAACAGCGGTGCGGCTGAAGGTGCCGATGAGTATGTCCTCAAAATCACCAATTCGGAAGACAGCCAGGAGTCCGACCTCATTGAAGCACAGACCCGGGCCATGATGCTCCTCAACGCTGAAGGCTTTCCTTCACCGACTCCTTATCTTACAAGAGATGGTAACATCATGTCTCTGGAGTCAGGAGGTGAGCAGTTACGAGCACCTTTGCTGCCTTACTGTCACCCTTCGCTTGGCACTAGTTTGCTATGTGATATGCCATAAGTATACTAAAGTAAAATTCTAGGCTTATTTTTAAATATTAGGGATATGTAGCAGGTGACCTGTGTGTCCAGCTGTAACAGTCCAAACTTAAAATACCAGAAGCAAAGCAAGTCGGAGAGAGTAACAATTAACTATGAAAATACTTAGGAAACAACTTCACTGTAATGAGTTTGATAAAACATTGATCTGACCTGTCTGTGCATAAGAAAAGGGAAAAAATATCCTCATGGACTAAACGATGTTACAACTTATTTGCCTAAAGAATGGTGTAAAATACAGTTCTAGCCCACCTATGGTGCCAGAATACACTGCTTTAATAATGCTTGGAAGAAAAAATGTGTTGATGTTTTGATTCTGTTTTCACTGTAACTTCCATGCAAAAGCTGGGATTCCTGAGACCTCCTGTTCTGCTGCCAAGCTGTGTAAGTGGGTGTCTGCGGGCACCGGAGGAAATCTGCTGTATGCAGAGTCAATTCCAAGCCTCAGGACTAGAAGTCCGGCGTAGACAGCAAGCGCGTCAGGGTTTGCACGTCACCGTACAACATTCTGGTGAATGAAATCTGTTTTAGCAGCTACATCTGAGTTCTACACTGGGATAAACCTTTTTTGCCTCTTTCATTGACTAATACTCGATAGTGCACATTGAAGTGACTGACTGCATCCATCTCTGCTTGTTAGACACTGGACCTGGGAACAAAAAGTACATGGTCAGGCTGCTGACTTACCTGCCAGGTACGCCTGTGGCGAAAATTGCTACCAATGCTCAGATTCTCTATGAGATCGGTAAGCTAGCTGCCAGTTTGGATAAAGCGCTCGCAGAGGTGAGTTGTTGTTGCTCCAGCCTCACAAACTTCTTCCTCAGTTAATTCCTCCTCTGTATTTCTTCTTGTATCTGCATCTGTCTGCTTTCCTGATCTGCAAAATTCAGGTTGGTGAATGCAGATGTCAGTTTAACTCATCTTTCAGGTGCCACCTTCCAAGCCGACTGTTACTAAAGTGTTTCCCCAAGTAATGTGACCAGTTGGTGCTTATGACATGGTGTCGGTGACCCTTTTGCAATGCATTTTCGGACCATGAACAGGGAGATTAGGGTTTCTTTCTGCTTACGCAAAACTTACCTGTTCGGTGTTTCAACCTGGTAAATAAGGAGAGTGAACCCTTAGAAGCATGTAAAGCTTGTTTTAAAGCATTTTTATATAGTGCACATCAGGCACAGCTGGCCAGTCTATTATTTTAAATTTGTTTTGACTTGCTTGCTGTCTCCTGGTCGTTAGAACTGTGACCATTTAACAATGGTAGCAGTTGGTTCCTCCCCCAATGCCAGCTGTGCCCATGAGCAGAGATTTGTGACACTTCCCGTTTGCATCGCTCCCAGTCAAATGATCTTAACGTACAGTAAGTTCTTACTTTACTCTGTAATTATACAGGATAAAAAAGCTGATAAATCAGCCAGTAATGAAGTCAGATACATAAAAGAACTCTTGAATTATTTTGCCTTTCATTAACCTTTCCTTCTCGTGTTCTGGCTCCCGGCTTCAGACAGTTACGAAATGTGAACTGCCAGCCTCGCTAACTACATTCTTAAATTACAAGGGCGTTTTTCAATTGGGGAAGGGAATTTACTGTTGCCCTCTAACGCTCTGCTCATGCTCTTATAATGCGATTAAACCAATTTACATAGACCAGCTAGTCTCAAAATATGCCTGTGACTTGTCCTGCGAAGGAGGAGATAGGTGATAAGAAAGCAAATTTTGATGGAAAAGGCTCTTTATGCCCCTAACATAGAGATTAGCATCTACCAAGGTTTGTTATTTAAAAGAAAGAAAATTACAGTCGTTACTGTTGAAACTTGAAGATGATATTGACACTAAAATTTCATACTGAAGGTACTGAGTGTTTGCATGACAGATCAGAAAGTACAGCCTGTGTTTTCTACCCAGTTAATTTATTTTGTCGACTTGATAGCAAAGCAGTGTGCCATGCTGTTTTGTGCACGAAACAGTATTCCACCACTTTCTCTGTTGGTGTTTCCTTTTGCTTGGATGTGCCTCGCATCCTCTAAATGCAAGTAAGTTATGTTTATGGCTGTAAAGCGACTGTTTATGGCTTTACAGTAACAAGGGCTCATGAGAATGTTGAGTTTTCTGACTTTTTATCACCTTTTACATGTCTGGTAACCCTTGTAAAGAGGAAGCCGGCTACTCTAGCGGGAAGGTTTTTTTATTTGCTCTGTGCTCTGATGGAATCTGGACCACAAGCCACTTTAATAAGCATTAGAGGATTCAAGGACAAGTGTGGTATGCAGTGAGGAAGATGCTTTTTCCTTCCAGAATATCACTTTCCCACCCACCTTTTGAATTTACTAGTGAGAGAGATTAAGGACCTTTGTTTGTTTAAAATACTTAGGCTACCTGGATGTACAGAGGCACATTTTCCTCAGAATACAGCTCTGTCTGGTATCGCCATAAAGTACTTCTGTCCTCAGGATTTTTCATGTACCCGCTGATCCGAAGGCTCATCCCCAAAAGCTGCCACCTTTAAGTGCACACAGAGTGTGCCTGTTCCCGGGAGCCCGGCAGGTTTTGTGTCTCTGCTGCTCATGCAGCTTTCCTGGGGTCAGCTGTGCAGTCCAGCCTGCCGGTGGGGGGCTCCGGCCTTGGCAAGGCCTCAAAGCTGCTACCTAAGGGCACGTTGCAGAAAGTCAGTATCAGTTTTAAATTATTTAAGTGATGTTAAGTGACGTAAGATAATCTTGGTACCTAAAGAATGGGGGAACAAAAACGTTTGGCTTGTATGTAGATACCAAGATGCTTGCCTTAGTCATTCTTCAGGTTGCTCTTTTACTTGATACAAAGTAACAGTCGAAGTCATGGTGCTTTTCTGTGAGTCTTATTAAGAACCTCTTAACAAGGGCTTTCAATCAAGCCCTTTAATCATAAAACCAGAATTTTTACTTATGGCCTATTTTATCTTGTGCTTTCTCCAAAGAAATTCCATCATCCATCAGTAAAAAGTCTGCATCGGGGTCAGTTCATTTGGAACCTGGCAAACGTTCCTCTTCTACATCAGTACATTTATGCCTTGGGCCAGAACAAATACCGTGAAGTTGTGGAACAAGTTATTGAGCAGTTTAAAGGGAAAATAATACCCAAGCTAAGCAGTTTTCGAGCCTGTGAGTATTTTATTCTCATTGTAATTATGTTGAACTGAGACACTGAAATTTCTTCCAGGAGACCAGAAAAAAAAACAAGTCTCCTTTATCCCTCGCTAGGCATGTGCAGATACTGTGCTGAATGAACACAGTGCGGAATAAGCCAGGAGGAGTGTGCTGTCCAGAGTCAGGTTCAGCTCTTGATGTTTCTGATGAGGTTGCTTCCAGTTAAGGTGGTGATTTTCACGCTGTTGTATCAGCTTAGTAAGAATATATGGAGCACACTACTGCCTTTCATAAAGGGCCAAATAACTACGTAATCTTGTTTCTCCAGTTCACCTCACATGGGTGTTGATGATAATTTGACAGTTTGATAATTTGAAAACTGCTATTCTGTGTTTGGAAAACATGTAGCATCTCACAGGTAGTACCACACTAGACAAAGATGTCGTAACGCTCCCTTTATCGACTGCTCTCTGGTCATCTGTTAGTGGAATGGAGGTTCCTAGGGAGCAGTAAGGCCGGGAAAGGCGACACTCGATGCGGAGGGAGACTAGTATGGTTTTGTAGTTGAGGGTTAGTTTGAGCCTCCATGCATCTTTTCAAAGCTGTTTCACTGAGAAATGGAAAAAAGAGAGTTAAGATTCTGCTGTTTCGTAACTGTTAAACACTGTTTCTGTTTTTCCTGTGTTTAGGTATCAATCATGGAGATCTTAATGACCACAACATTCTAGTAGACTCCAGTTCTGCTTCCCTGGAGAATCCTCAGTACAGAGTGTCTGGCATCCTGGATTTCAGTGACATGAGTTATGGGTACTACGTATTTGAAGTGGCGATAGCGATCATGTACATGATGGTTGAGAGCCCAGATCCCCTGGGTGTTGGGGGGCATGTTCTGGCGGGGTTCGAAAGCATCCTGCCGCTCACGGAGGAGGAGAGGAGTGCCCTTTTTCTGCTGGTGAGCGGGAGGTTTTCTCAGTCCCTTGTCATCGCAGCCCACACCGCTCTGCTGTACCCAGAGAATAAGGAATACCTCACGATCACAGCCAGAACCGGATGGAAGCACCTCATGAAGCTGTTTGAGGTGGGCCAAGAAGCCGTCGAGAAGACATGGTTCGAGACTGCCCGAGCGTACGCGAACCGCGCACCGGCCGCGCAGATCGGTGGCTGCTGAGCTTCTCCGCGGCAATAAAG